CACCCAGCAGCTGCATGTGGAGGAGCGGAGACGCGAACCCGGTTCCCCAGATTACGAGTCCACTGCTCTTAACCACTACACCACACTGAACAGGGTAAGGACCTTTAGAAGCAGGCAATCTCTTGGGTCCTCCAGTGGGAGACTTGCTTAAGAACCCTTGGAGCTGTTAAAGGAGGAGGAGGAGAATTTATTTATATGCCACCTATCTGGGTTTCCCCAGCCACTCTGGTCATCTTCCAACAAATGAAAACGTCAAACTCAGGGTTGTTTCAGAAGTCTTCTAAAAGTCAGATAGTTGTTTATGTCCTTGACAGCTGATGGAAGGGTGTTCCACAGGGCCGGTGCCACTACCAAGAAGGCCCTCTGCCTGGTTCCCTGTGACCTCACTTCTCGCAGTGAGGGAACCGTCAGAAGGCCCTCGGAGCTGGACCTCAGTGTCTAGGCTGAACGATGGGGGTGGAGACGCTCCTTCGTACAGGGCCACCACACCCTCCAGAATACTGGCACTCGAAGGCTGCATCTACAGACCCAGCGTTATCACACAGCATGTGAGTATGTAGTCTACTTGTGAGTAAGCAATCTCTGAATGAGCAGCTGTATATAAGGCATGCATATAAAGGCGTGGTTCTCAAAGAGTGTGGCAAAAGGATGACTGTGGCAGGAAGATTCAAGGACAACTAAAGAAACATTTAAAACTGCAGTATAGTTTAGTAACAACAACAAAAATATTTGCAGAAGATGTTTTGTTGTTTTCTTTTGTTTTGCAGTAGAAGTACGCCACTGGATTCTTTTTGGACATACAACCGGAAACAGTATCTGGGCCTCTCTTCAAGAGCATTGGTTAATCTTCTACAGTTCCCTACGATGTATTGCTCTGAACAAGGATTTTCAACTCTGACAAATACAAAAAATCAGAAAAGAGAAAGGCTATTATGTGTTGATGAGGAGATGAGAGTTTATCCATCTCAGATTAGACCTAATATAAATAAGATTACCCAGCAAAAGCAAACACACCTCTCATTGAGTTTGTATACATACTTAAGATATATATATAACAGGCTCGTTTATAATTATATTTTGGTAATGATTTATGTTCTGCTGCACGCCTATGCACATTTAGTGGACTCAGTGTCACGTGTGTCTAGATTGCAGCCTTATCTGAAGTAAGCCCTTTTGAAACTCAGTGGAGTTCCCTGCCAAGAAAATACCTTTGGGGGTTACGATCAGGGTTTATTCTAACATGCAGCTAGACGCATCTTGTGTAGAGTCACGGAAATTGTGCAGTGTGAAATAAGCTTGTGCTGCAGTTGGGCATCTGGGATTTAATAAGGAGCTAGGTAGAATCTAAAAAGAAGAGGAGAAAATGGATGAGAAAAGACCAAAAAAAAAAAAAAAAAAATAGAAAATGTGAAGGGGGAAAAAAGGAGTCTTTGTCCTTGCCAGCAAGGAACTCTTTCCAAAGGCAAAGTATTGTGGTTTAGTGTTCAGCAGTCTGTGATCCAAATACTGTCTCCAGCAGCTACAGTTCTCCGCAGGCCTTGAAGGACTCTTTTCAATTCAGCCTTTCAGTAGACCGTAGACCTGGTAGCCCAGTCAGTGATTTTTCCTTCAACAGACAGTTTGGCAAATCGCAGGATAGCGCACGCACACATACACCCACCCGCCCACTCCCAGCCAACTATCATCTCAGCTCTTTGCATCCCTTTCCCATCCCTTCTCTGTCTTCACTTCTCAGGTATAACAGCAGCTGCAGCCTGGCAAAGGTCTCTGCTGCGTCTTAGGCCGCGTTCCCACCATACCTTTAGAGCACTATGATATCACTTTAAACAGGATGCGGGTGGCGCTGTGGGTTAAACCACAGAGCCTAGGACTTGCTGATCAGAAGGTCGGCAGTTTGAATCCCAGCGACCGGGTGAGCTCCCGTTGCTCAGTCCCTGCTCCTGCCAACCTAGCAGTTCAAAAGCACCTCAAAGTGCAAGTAGATAAATAGGTACCGCTCCGGCGGAAGGTAAACGGCATTTCCGTGCGCTGCTCTGGTTCGCCTGAAGCGGCTTAGTCATGCTGGCCACATGACCCGGAAGCTGTATGCCGGCTCCCTCGGCCAATAAAGCGAGATGAGCACCGCAACCCCAGAGTGGGTCACGACTGGACCTAATGGTCAGGGGCCCCCTTTACCTTTACCACTTTAAACAGGCATGGCTCCCCCCAAAGAATTATGGGAGTTGTAGTTGCTTAAATGTGCTGAGAGTTGCAAGGAAACTAACGTTCCTGTACAGAACTCCTGGTGAAGATGAATTGATTGTGAAACCACTCTGGAAACTGAAGCTCTGTTGGGGGAATAGGGGTTTCCAAACAACTTTCAACAGAATCATAGAAATGAAGAGTTGGAAGGGACCCCGAGGGTCATCTAATCCAACCCTCTGCAATGCAGGAATTGCAACTAAAGCATCCATGACAGATAGCTATCCAATCTCCGCTTGAAAACCTCTACCACTTTTGAAAGGCGTCTGTTTCATTGTCAAACAGCTCTTGCTGTCGGAAAGTTGTTTAGTGTCAGAATTTCCTTTCTTGAAACTTGAATCCGTTGGTTTGAGTCCTACCCTCTGGGGCAGGAAAAAACAAGCTTGTTTCCATCCTCCATGTGACAGCCCTATAGATATTTGAAGATGACATATCTCCTCTCAGTCTCCTCTAGGCTAAACATACCCAACTCCTTCAACCGTTCCTCATAAGGCTTGGTTTCCAGGCCCTTGATCATCTTGGTCACCCACTGCGTACCTTCCAGCTTGTCAACTCCTATCCTGGAGAACTAATCCTTGAAGAAGACTTCTCCCAAATGGCAGGGCATGTGGACAGTTCAGAAGATAGCATCACAAGGCTGAGACCATTCCTCCTTTCCTCCGCTAGGCCCAGCAGACTGAACCAGGTAGACCAAGAGGTGCAAGGTCACCAGACAAAAACTGAAGGACAGGCAGACAGATCCACTGATATTAATAAGTTTGTTTTCCGAACCTTATTCCAGACAGTGTTGTAAATAATACATGGGTTAGAAGCAGCAGCAACCCTGCAGCTTTTGAGCAGCCATTTTGCGACTATCCTTCATTAACTCTTAGTAGACCGCAGCAGTAAAAGTAAACAGAACCTTCAATGTGTAAAATAGTCATTTTGTAACAGACTGCAAATCCTAGTCACAAAAAAATAATATTTTGGGTGGGGGCTCAGCTTTATAGTTCTGTTTTGAGCAGGAAGGGAGTCTTGGTGCCAAACTGCAGGTTAAGAAAGGTAAATAATCTCTTTGCCCAAGAAACTGCGGCAGGCAGTTTCTTACCTTATCGCATTCTTTTCCATGAAACTTTGCTTTTTCTTGCTCCCTCACTGTCTTTCTCATTTCCCCAAATTTCCAGCTTTCTTCCTGTGCTGTTTTCTTCTTTTTCCCTGCCTCTTTCTGTGTTAATTCTTGCTTTCTCTTCCCTCTTTCATTTTCTTTCATTTTGGGGGTGGGCAGTATACTGGCTGCTTGTGCGGTGGGGGGGTCAGAGTTTAGAATAAACCCTACTTACACTCCCATATTTTATCCCCCCAATGTCCACATAAGAGTGTAAGAAGATGGTGACTTACAGCGCCACCCTATGCTTGTCTACTCAGAAGCAAGCCCCATTCAGTTCAATGGGACTTCTAGATAAGTTGATACAGGATTTCACAGGATTCAATCCCACAGACGTGCTTAATTGGGGTTGAGGAGCTCAATGGGGCTTACTTCTGAGCAATCCTCTACGCACTTTGGAGTAAGAACCGCTGAATTTAATGGCTCAGAATCCTAAATATATATGCATATATATGCTTAATTAACCAAGTTATGTCGAGAGGCGGGGTTTGAACTCTCTAACCCCTACACTAGCTGTCCACAGAAAGTTATCTTACACTCTCAACCATTTATTTGGAAACCTGAAAGTTTAACTTAACTGGGAAGCTTAACTGGGACTGACTGAGCTCAATGAGACTTTATTTCTGAGCAACCCTCTGCGCACCACGCAGTAAGAACCACTGACTTTAATGGATCTAACTCCTAAATATACGTGCAAAGTCCTGTGTTATAGACCAAGTAATGTGGAGAGGCAGGTTCTGAAGTCTCCCTTAGCTAAGCGCTACAACTCTATTGAAAGATATCCACTCTCTCAACAATTTACAGTTACAGATAGGTAGCCGTGTTGGTCTGCCATAGTCAAAACAAAAAAATTCCTTCCAGTAGCACCTTCCAGTAGTACCAAGAACTAACTTAGTTGGTCTTTAAGGTGCTACTGGAAGGAATGTTTTTGTTTCAACAATTTACGTATCTCGAAACTTGAAAGTTTTGCTTTTAAGGATGCCTAGAAAGAGGGACACCTACGCTTCCCTTTCGGGTTTTCCCCTGCATCTCCCCCATCCCAGCCGCTCCAGGGAAGCATTGCAGGGGAAGAGAGAGGGGGTGGCACAGACCAGCCGCGCACGCCCCGATCTTCCAGGTAGAGGTGTTTCGCTTTTCGATAAAGGAGGGAGCAAAGCCTCGCCAAGCGGGCACCGACGGGAGGGGCGGGGGTTGATTGACGGTTCCCATAGAAACCCCGGGATGCCCCCGCCCCCTCCGCACTGGGCGGCCAATCCGCGCCCGCGCCCGGGTCCAGGAGGCTGCTTGTGCCATTAAAGAATATGTAGGCAGGCGAGAGGCAGAGAAGGCTTTGGAGGAGTCACGTTGTGGTGGTAGTGGAGGGGGGCGGGGGGGGAGAGGAAGAAAAGGGTGAGGGGGGGTTGGGGAGGAGGAGGAGGTCGGACGGGGTGGGGGGAAAGGAGCCGCGATCCGCTTACACAAAGTTTTGCTCGAACAAGCTGTCTTAATGGTTCCTGCGCGGCGGCGAGGAAACCTGATCGGCTGAACGCCAGCCGGGTGGCGGGGCAAGGAGGAGGAGCAGGAGCAGGAACGGTGTGTGTGTTTGTGTATTGCACTGGGGAGGGGGGGGAGAGAGAGGAAAGGGGGGGAAACCCACAAACCCACACCACCCAACTCCAAAACAAGGGAGGGGGCGGTGGAAAATGTCCTCTGCCTCCCCCGCCGCCCCGATCCCCGGCGTGGTGGCGGCGATCAAGCAGGAAAACGTGCTGGCGGACATGCTCTCCGGCGGCGTCGGGGCGCAGGAGAAGGCAGCCCGGGAAGGCTGCGCGCCGCCTTTCGCCAGGAAGCAGGAGGAGGAGGAAGACGACGGGGAGGACGAAGACGACGACGAGGACGAGGAGGCAGCGGCGGAGGCGGCCGACCAGGTCCTGCTCCACGCCGAGCTGCTGGTGCGCAACCAGCCCGTGCGCCACGCTGCCCTCTCCGCCGCGCCCGCCTGCTCCTCGCCGTCTCCCGCCTCGCCTTGCTCGCCGCCGGCTCCGCTGGCTTTCTCCCCGGAGCACGTCGCGTGCGTGTGCGAGGCTCTCCAGCAAGGCGGCCACCTGGACCGGCTGGCGCGGTTCCTGTGGTCGCTGCCGCGGAGCGACCTGCTACGTGGCAACGAGAGCCTGCTGAAGGCGCGCGCGCTGGTGGCTTTCCACCAGGGTCTTTACGCGGAGCTGTACGGCATCCTGGAGAGCCACAGCTTCGACGCCGCCAACCACGCGCTGCTGCAGGAGCTGTGGTACAAGGCGCGCTACAGCGAGGCGGAGAGGGCCCGCGGGCGGCCCCTGGGCGCCGTCGACAAGTACCGCCTGCGCAGGAAGTTCCCCTTGCCGCGGACCATCTGGGACGGCGAGGAGACGGTGTACTGCTTCAAGGAGAGGTCGCGCAACGCGCTCAAGGAGCTCTACAAGCAGAACCGCTACCCGTCGCCCGCCGAGAAGCGCAACCTGGCCAAGGTCACCGGGCTCTCGCTCACGCAGGTCAGCAACTGGTTCAAGAACCGACGGCAGAGGGACCGCAACCCCTCCGAGCCGCAGTCCAAGAGGTGAGCGCGCCCGCGGGAAAGGGAAAAACTTTCGCAAACTTTTTGGAGAGAGAGAGAGGAGGAGACAGGGAGTGGGGAATCGGCCGGGGACAAAGCAGCTCCAGAATCCGGGAGCTCCTTGAGGCAGGGAGAGAGGGAGAGGCAAGCGAGGGGGACGGAACTCTGCACATGGGCAGGGGGCGCAGGAGTGTGATCTGGCGTGGCAAGTCCCCGGGTTAAGAGACGGCACAGCCTGAGGCTCTTGCTGGACGCGGGGGCTCCGCGCTCTGCTTGATTTCCACTCTGTTTAGACCTTGTTCCCTGCCCTTTATCGCCTGTTGTCTTCCCTTTCCCCAAAACTTCCTGCTGCTTTGCTTGGTTCCTCCCCCCCCCCTTCTGCCCCCTGCCTTGTTAGATATGCTAATTTCCCTGCCCCACAAAAGGCCTTTGGTGCCCCCACCCTACCCCAATGCCCCATCTTGCTTTCTGGTTTAGCATCCATAATTCGCACTCTGAGCCCCTGCCTCATTCTCAGCTTATTTTCCCCTTTTGCATCCCACCCCCATCCTTCTTGCCTGACCCTCTCCTTCCACCTTGTCTTTCTTTGTTTCTCCAACCACCACATGCCATCTCTTTTAACACCTTGCCTGCTCCTTTGCTTTTCCTGTCCTCCCCCCTTTCCCCTCCTGTCTGGCTTGCTCCCTCCCTTCCCCTGCCCTGTCTGTCCTAGCCTGGCTCTCATTCCTTGACAAACATGGCGTTTACCTTACAGCTTTCTTCTCTCTCTCTCTCTCTCTTTCCTCCCACCACTGCCCCAAATCTCTCATTTTAAAAAACACACACACACACTCTTCTTCTTTGCAGAGTGTAGAGCAAAATAAGTGTCTCTGGTAATCTCCTTGTCCCTTAAAAGTACTTTTTTCCCACTTCCTTCATCCTGCACTCAAGGCTACATAATTCCTCCACCCGCCCACCCACTAAAAAAGAAAGTGGTTATTTTGCTTCCAGATTCCCTGGGTGGGAAATCTCTCCTCCACCATGGCTTGCACCCCATAACCTTCAAGGTATCTCTGCCTGGGAGCACTTTTTGTAGCTTGATTCGTCCTGGGGTGGGGGTACCCCTTTATTCCTCTCCCAGTGCGAAAATATAAAAGTTCCTCTCCCCCCAATGCTCCCCACATTAACCACCAGCAAAACAGATTCCCCCACAACAGCAAAACTTCTGTGTGTTCTTTCCAGTGCCATATCCTTTATTTCTCTGTTTTCTCCTTTCCTTGTGCACGATTCATGAAATTATGATGTTCTGTATACATTGCCACAAACCGCCAACCCAACATTTAAAATCTGCTGTTGCCGCGGGGTGTGTGTGTGTGTGTGTGTGTGTGTGAAAAAAATGTTTCCAGATCTGCAAACTCCATACTACCATGGGAAGAAAAGTTTTCTTTCTCCATCTTAACCCTCTGCATAAATAGCACCAGCCTCCTTTCCTAGGTTCCCTCAACACACCCAACAAACACGCAATCTTCTCCGATCATCTCCTCTTCTTGTTGTCCAAGGAAACTTTCTCTCCCCTCTCCCATTTTTATTTGACAGCGTTAATCATTTGCCCAGGTTTTATGTCACCAAGGGGTGGGAAACAGAGAGAGGGAAACTTGAAGCTCCTTCTGTGGCAGGAGGGTTGCTAGTCCTTCTCCCCACCCCCTCCTTGCACACTCACTCCGGTCTCTTGTTGTGAAACTTGATTCTGCCTTTGGTTCAGATCAGTTTTCCTTTCCCCCACAAGACAGGAACCGGGGACTGCCCAGGTCTATAATCCCAAGCAACCCCTTGCCCTCAGAGGCTCCCAGGACAGATCACCACCTAGCAGATCTCCCTTTATTCCTTCCCTCGTTCCCACTGAAAATATACTGGTGCGTGACTTATTCCTAAAATACCACAGGGGTTTAAATGTCTGAACCTGCAAAGCCTGCTCTCTCTTTTTCTTTCACTAGATCTGGGCCAGTGGTTGGGTCAATTGGCCAGGGCTAGGAGACTTAAAATCGGGGCGGGGGGAGGGGCTTTGGCTAGTGAGAGGCCACCCCAGAGGTATTCTGCTGGGCCAGCCAGGTGAGCTGACCTGCTGGCCTGCCCAAGGCACATTCCTCTCCTCCTGTTCCTCCTCTTCACTTTTCTTGCCCTCTTGCTTTCTTTCAAGAGGGGCTGGTTGACAGAAGGCAGGAAAAGTGGCTGGGTGGTGGTGGTTGTTTTTGTGAAAGGAAAAACACCACCCTCAGCGACCCATTTTCAAGCAAGGACACACAGGTTGTGCTGAGGCAGGTAGCTCCTTTCAGTCCTTGGGGGACATAACATCAAAGCTATGAGTGGCAGGCAAGGAAGGAGGGTGTAAAACCGGGAGGACCAGCTGCAAAAGTCCGGCCTGCGGAAGTTTGACCAGGCTGCAATTCTTGCAAGGCCAGTTGTTCGTTTGTTTGTTTTTTCTGATGGGTGTAAGGGGCAATTTGCTTCATTTTTTATTTTTGCTGGTAAAAGACCCTCTGGCAAGCTTTTCAGGCTTCAGTTGCCCTCTTCCTCTGGTGGTTTAAATCAGTTCTTAAAATCCTGTTTCTTTTTATCCCTTCTTTTTTCTAAGCACCCGGAAGCAAACGTAACCCAGTAGGAGGTGTTTTATACCTCCGTGGGCTATATCACATGTTTTTATGTGGCTCAAGAAACACAGACACACACAAAACACTCCAGAAAATATTTGATGCATGTTGCTTGCAGACATGTGTTTGCTTATCGGCAAGTGTTGTAGCAGGAACATGACTGGCTGTAACTTCCTGGAGCCTCTTATCAATGTATGCAGTTTAGGGGTGTGGGGGAGGAATGCTTCACTCCCCAATTTCTCCCAGCCCCTTCCTCCAATCAGATCCCTGTTCTTCAGAAACCTCCATATATCTCCGGGCAGCTCACTGGCTTAGCAGGGCTAACTTGTTATAACACTGAACTGTTTGTGTTCCATGTATCCTGAAGGCAAACTGGATCCTAACCACTATCACCCCAGCTGCCCCCCCCCAGTCCTGCTTCCCCTCTCCTCTGCATGGATAAACTCCACCATCAAAACTAATTTGAATACTATTTTTAATAGAAAAGGGAGTGTAAAACTTAGAACGAATTTAATCCCTTCTGGGTCAATGAGGTGCGGGGACGGAGATTACGTGTGCACAAACCCACAGGATATGCTTCACCTCATAGCAAATATTTATTCCTGCCCCTATAACTTAAACCCTATGGGGAGAGGAGGCAGGCAGCCGAGTGATAGAATCATAGAGTTGCAAGGGAGCATGTGTGAAATATTCTTGCTTTCTTTGCTGATCTAAAATAGTGTTCATTTGACTTCATGGGATTTTTTTAGGGGCATCTATCTTCCTCAGAAAGCAGATGTGTCAGGTTAGGTCAAAGGCAGAAGTTGTTTTTTCCTTTAAGGACTATTTTTTAAACCTGCGTTAACACTTTTTAATAGTTGCAAGGTATAGAAAACCAGCTCCTGCAAATATTTGTTTTGTGCAGTTTAATCAGGAGCCTATCCCAGAATAGGCCCTTCACGCCTCTTCCATCTCATCCCTCCCAAAATCTCTATATTGGGGTTGGCAAGGTTTACCTTGCCTGGGCTGGTTTACTGCTGCAGAACCTCCTCTGTGGACTGGATTGCGGGTGCGCATGAGCGCGCCATCCCACAATTTCTGGCGTCTGCGTCCGCACAGAAGCGTTGCTGCTCGGCAAGTCCCCGCACCACGGTGCGTCGGTATAGCGCAGTGCGCAGGGACTCGCCAAGTGGGCGGCTCGGAGGCCGGCAAAATGACCCCCGTGGGCCGCTTGTGGCCCATGGGCCTTAGGTTGCCGACCCCTGCTCTATATCTTTCAGTTTTTCCCAAGAAGACATGCTTAATTTTGCCCTTCCCCCATTTTTTATCCTCACAACAGCCCTTTGAGGTAGGTTAGGCTGAAAGAGAATGACTAGCCAAGATTTGCCCAGTGGGGGTCATGGCTGAGCAGGGATTTGAACCTGCACGTTCCGGGTCAGACACTCTATAAGTGCAACACTACACCTGCTCTCTTGCAGAAATCTGATGTTGTGTCCCTTTGCCTGCGTTAAGACTTGACTGCTTTTCAGCTTTTAGCAATATTGGTTATTGCGATGATTCTGCCTGGAGAGCAATTGTCATCTCTTTCCCTGGCTATTTTCTATTTTGGCTGCAGAAAGGGTGCCACTAAACATTGCATACAAATTTATTCTCTTGTAGCTGCATTAATCAGTGCTTGCATTTAATTCTCTTTTTTTTTTGCCACCACTTGAATCCTTTCCAGTAATGGTTTGTTTTGCAGATGAGTAAGATACATGGGCTGTAACATCCTCTTAGTTTAGACCACAAGCATTGTAGAAATGAGAGCGTTCGAAAAATAAACAACTCGGCTCCTTTGCAGGGATGTGTGATTATCCCACTTCCAAACCCCTCTGAAGCTTCACAGCTGCAATAACCTTGGGGGGCTTACTCCTTTCATTTCCCCAGTGGACTATTCCTTTCCTCCCGTTGGGAAGTGCCAAGGAATTGAGGACATCTGACACATTTTGGCCAAGCTGTCACGGTGGTGATAAATCCATCAGTTCAAAGAGCTTTTAACAGGCTGTTGTGTCTGAGACCAGCCAGTGACATTTTGGGACAACTCTGACATTCTGGATATTGCCTGGTTGGCCATGTCTTGAAGTCCTTCTTCTAGATGTCATATTAAAGACTTCTATACTTTTCGTTTTCCTTACATGGGGAAAATGGCATCGCTTGGTGGTAGAGTACCTAGTTTTCACGCTGAAAGTCCAATGTTCCTTATCTGGGAAGGACTCTTACCTGAAAGCCCTTCTGTGAGCAGGTACATCATCTTAAAACCAAATATGCTTCTTGCTTCAGAATTCTTTCCTCCTGCATAATAAACAGATCAGCTCATATAAAGGTTGATTTAGCTGAAATTCCAGTATTTTAGGTCGG